AAAATATGAGACCCCAGGATACATACTTAGCCTCTCTAAGTCTTGATTTCCTTATCTGTTAAGTGGAGCTATTAATCGTGACTCTTTCATAAGGTTGTTGGGAGGATTAAAAGAGTTAACCATTTTAAAGGCCTATAATAGTCACTTAAGAAATGCAAGCGGCTATCACCATTGTCACGCTTTAGAAGTCCCCCAAGCAACAGAGAATTCTGATCTGGAAAGCGGAGTCAGGGCTGGTCTCTCTCAGGCATCCCACATGCTTACCTGTATGTGTCCCTTTTCACTGTATTATGTCTCTAAACTGAAATTCGCCGTTCCCTCCAGGGGCCAGCAAGAAGACCGCATTAACAGATAGGAACAACTGGAAATCAAGTCAGCCCCTTGAGGAAGGGAGTTCTAGGAACTAGAGAAAAGGCACCATCTTCACCATTCTTCCAAGCAGTTGATGGATGACAAATACAGTGCTCCAAAGCGACGTGGGTCCCTCTCTAGGTTCTGGTAGATAAATGCATTTAGCAGCCTCCTCTTAGGTCAAAGAAATGGGACAGAGTTGGAAACCGTCTGCTTGTAAATTCAGCAAATAGCTACTCNCCATAGGGCTCAAAGAGCCAGATTACTTGGCTCGAAATTTTGGAGCTAAGCTGCCCAGAAGCGAAAGTGAAAAAGAAATCAGTTACATAGTTCTCAATGTTCAGAAAGAAAAAGCATACAGTTCTTCAGGGGAAACAAACGATCCCCAGCACTCACATCTAAAAACCATTTACTGCGCATATTTTAACTACAGTGGAGCACGCACACAAACAACCCAGCAGACACAGCACTGGGCACTGGATTTTTATTGCAGCGTCCCTCTGTAATTGCTGAGAACTCAACACGGAAGTGTGACCCAATAAAAACATTTTATGCGGGAGGCAAGACAAGACAATATGGTCCTGATTTTGAATGTGCTTCAAATCATCTTCTACTGATCTATCTCCCGAGCAGCCATCTGAACAGCTGAGGAACAGGTAAGTGGAGGTGAGGTTCTTCGTAAAGACCTGGGCTACAGGTGTTGCTGATCAGCAATGGCTCCCTACAGCTTGGAGGTCCCGCGTGACAACAGCGATGCTGACAATGATTTGTGCAAGTTGAGGAATCTAACCAGGCTTCTCCTTCCTGCCTGAGTGTCCACTGCCCAAAAGTGAGATGTGCTGAAAAGTCTCCACGGACCCCTCCGGGTACCTGCTTACCCTTCTCCACCCTGCTCTTGGCCCTGGGGGGCTGACCCCTAATGAATGCACCCTCTGCCCTTCCTTGCCTTTTTTCTTCTCATGATGTTAGGCCAATAGGAGGCACCAGCAGAAGACAGCAGTGTCCTAGCAGGATACCGGTTCCCCAGTTCCCTCCCTGCTGGACTGTGGCAGTGTCTCTGCTCTTCTCCCTGAGGCCACAGCTGCTGTCAGGAGACACACCCACTCCTATAACTTTCTGGGAACTGCTTCCTCCTCTCCCCCCCTCCAGACCTAAGATGATAACAGCTTCCCCATCTGCTAGACCCTGGTGCTTTGCCATCCCTACTGGTTTCTTAATCCCGCCTCCTTTGTAAATAGCCCTTTCGTGAAAATCTCCTCAGTCACCCTCTTTCAATGTGCCATCTGTCTTCTACTGAGACCCGCAAAGGACCTGAAGGTTAGGCCACGCTGCCTCTCCTAAAAACTAAAGAGAGAAATGCTCTGGAGACATTCCATCGTGTGAATGGATGATGGATCAGGTCCTCAACATTCCATACCAGTGAGTAGGAAATTATTTTGGCCTGGAAAAAATATCAAAGCAAGTACTACTGGTTACTAGCTGCTCTAGTCACTCAGCAAAGGGTCTTTTTATTTGTTTGTTTGTTTGTTTTTTAAAATCTCAGTAATGTTGCTGTGGAATATCTGACTTTGAACAACAGCTTCTAAATGGATTCTCCAGGATGAATTATTTGCAAAGAGTGTCCCTAAGAAACAAGCGGAAGTGACCTACTCAATGTAGTCGTTGGGTAGAGCCAATTCAAGCCTGCAAGACATCTGCTGATTCTGGTTTTAGAACTAGGTTTCAGCCAATGGCTAAAATAAATGCCTATAGAAGCCATTCCTAATTTATGACCAAAGAAAAACAATCAGGGCCAGCCGAGCGGCTCAGTTGGGTAAGAGCGTGAGCTCTGTGCAACAGGGNTTGTTAAATGACTTGCCTAACCTCGCTGCTTTGGTGCCAGGATTCAAGCCAAGGTCTCTCATATTGCTGCTGTGAGGATTAAATGAAATTTAATTACATTTAGCACTGGGCATAATATAAGTCACGATGTAATAAATATCATTACTTTTATTACTGTAGTTATGACCACCAGGCAGATGTTTGGGCCTCACCTCTCTGGCCTCATGACTTTCCTCCCTCCTTGGCCTTGAGCACAGTCATTAATGTCACACAATCCAAGAGAACCCAGGAACTTTTAGGGGAAAAGCAGGGCAAGAGAATGTAGGTAGGAGCCCAGGGCAGTGCTGCCCTGAGGACGCGAATTTATGTGAAAGTCACAGGTGGGAGATGGAGCAATGAATGCTGGGAAGGAGCCTGGGATCAGCAGGTGAGCTGGGAAGGGCGGCATCAGCGGCCCCTGGACCAGCCCCTAGACCCGAATGATAAGTACAAATTAGGGAACACAGGGCACAGATTATGTGCCGTCGTCTCTGCCAGAATTTGCAGACACAGCTGGTTCTGACATTGCTTCCCTGGTTGCCATCTAGTTAGCAAAAAATGAAGACGCCCCAGAGCCGTGCACTTCTGGGACTGAGGCCAAGGGAGAGGGAGACGGGGCGGCCCAGCTAACGTGCTCCCGCTGACACTCAGCAGGGCATCCCTGGCTCCAGCCAGCAGCCATTGTGGTTAGAACAAAATCCAGCGAGGAGAAGGCCCACACTCTGCTGATGGGTAGCCGGGGGGGTCAGCTACTCCAAAGAACACAAGCAGTGAAGGAGGGAAGGGAGGAAGGCGGCAGCCTGCAGCGTTGTGGGGCCCTCCTGGTCCCACTCAGTCAGGCCACAGCCCCCTGCTCCACCCAGTCCCCAGCCCAGCCAGCACACAGCCAGCACATGGACACCACGTCAAGCAAGTCGGGAACCTCAGAGCCTACTCTGCCTGCCTGTTCCCACCTGCCTCCCACCAAGCTTGTGCTTGCTTTGGTATCCTTGGTTCTCAAATGTGAGACTTCAGGAACAATTTCAACTCTCGACCCTCAGAGGTCTAGGCCTTCGGCCTCCCACAGAGCTCTTGGAATTGTTCCTCCTTCTGGTCCCAGTGTCCTCTGCCCCTTTGGGTAAGGAAGTCCCTCCTCCAACTCCCAGGCCTGCAGCACCCCTGGGCCAGTCTAGTTGTGGAGAAGGTTACTTCACTGGCCCAAGTTGGCACCATCATTGCGCTCTTCCCGGGCGAGGCAGATCAGTCGCTGACCTCTGGACAGCCGCTCACAGTGGCTTGAGGGCCGCTTACACTGGCTGCTGGCTACACACGGTAGCCCATGGCAACCCACTGCCACAGGGGCTGCAGCCTACGCTGTCGCCAGTGACNCTCACAGCTTAGTCCATTGGACTTGGGTCCTCAAGTTCATTCTGGACAGAGGCTCAGAGCTCCCGAGAGAGCAACGGTTTCCCCGTTTATCTGGAGGGGAGAATGTTGGAGGTGACCTTCTCCGGTGAAGAATGAGGCATGGACCACCTAAAGAACTAGCTAGGGGTGGAACTTCCTAACCCCAGCCATCTGTCCCCAGAAGGGGGACTCTGACAGAACAAGGCGGTATTTGGCCAGTAGAGTGTCCTCTCAGCAACGTCTCTCCTGAGCTGCACATAAATGGACACAGCCACCTCCCCCAAGAAGGCACATCCTGGGGGTCCCTGAACACTTGGCAGATTTGCCAAAGCAATGAAGCCAGCACTCCACCCCCTGAGAGTTGCTGTTCCAGCAACATGGTGCTGAGAGAACCACGTGAGCGAAAACAATATACTTCCCCCTACAAAGCAGGTATAATTTTAAAGCAGTCACATGTCATCCTGATTTTAATACTCCTGCAGAATTAGGAGAAAATTCTAGTATAACTTGTATTAAATAGACATATTTCTATACCATGCGTTGCCAGGTAATTATCCAGCCTGTACATGAATCTTTTAGTAACAAGACGCTCATCATTTACTGAGGATGCTCTGTCCATTCCTGGCTACTTCTAATTAATCATTGTCTTCCTGTATCGAACTTCCATATGGTTCCCTGGGCTTCCACTCAGTCTAAGCCAGGGGCAGTAAATTATCGCCCACAGGCCAAATCCAGCCTACCACCCATTTTTTTGCACAACCTGAGAGCTAAAAGTGGTTTTTATGCTTTTAAAATAATTGAAAAATAATTAAAAGAAGAAGAATATTATGTGACATGTAAAAAGTATGCTATATTCAAATTTCAGCTTCCATAAAGTTTTACTGGAACGCAGACACATGCACTCTTTCACGTATCGTGTATGCTTTCACACCACAAGAACTAAGTTGAGTAGTTGCAATAGACACCATATGGCCTGCAAAGCCCAAAATAGTCACTATCTTGCCNCTGTCAACCAAACTGCAAAGCTGAGTGGCAGGCTGAAACCTCACAGGAAACCCAGCATCCAGTGAAAAACTTCCCTAAGTCGGGTGGGAGTGTTTCTGAGCTCAGCACAGGCCATGAACAAAGGCTGTGAATGCCAGCCATCGCTATGCAGAGATAAAGAACCTGGGAATCCAACCAGAGGGCCCTTGCAAATGTCCAGTGCTGTCCTGACACTTTGATTGATGGTGGATCCTTTTAATTAGCCCCTCTTGTCTCTGGAGGCTTCCAAAGAACCATCACTGGCTCCCCACTTCTTCCCCCCAGCCCCCACCACTTGCCTTCCTTGGGGGGCTGGGCTGGAGCAGGCGCTGAGCCTCGCCAGCCCCTTCCACCCATGACCGCCACGTTCCGGCACTGACCTTTCGCAGAAGGAAGCAGATGCGCTCGATGTTCCTGAGCCGTTCCCTCTATCAGGACGTGCAAGAGAGAAAGGAGAGGGGAGGTTAGAGCGAGAGGAACCCCCATATTCAGCCTCCAGCAGAGAAGGCAGAGCCTGCCAGAGGCCCCTCTCGGCCAGATGGCTTGCATGCTCCCGCTGGTGGCTTTTCCTAAAAGGAATTTCTAACTTTTTCCCATCTATCTTGTCAGTCACTTTCTGTTAACAGAACTCTCCCAGAAACCAACATGGGCTCAGCTTCCGTCTCAGCCCAGAGGAGGTGTCTGCACTTTTTTCTACAGGCAAAGCCTCTCTCAGCCTCCATGTACCCATAAGACGGTCACGTACACATAAGCCTCCATGTACACATAAGACCAGGCACCTGGTGTTCACTGAATGTCCTAAAGCCTGCGGTCAGCCCTCCCGGGGGGGTGGAAAGGGGGTGGGGTGGGGAGCTCCCACAGGCCTCAAAGAGCACATGTGCCCTGATAAGTGTCCAAGAAAGAGAAGCTCTCTGCCCGTTGGCTTTATTTTTCCAAAGTGAGTGTATTTAGAGGAGGTAATCTCCCCACTAAATTAGACACCAGCAGCAACCCCGGGCTAAGTCTTTGCAAGACGTCCAAGTTCACCTGTGGCTGGGCAGGTGATGCCTCCCCTTCCCCGCAGTGACTTTCTTAGTTTCAGAAGCTACTGGAGCACAGCTGTGGCATCTCCCAGTGCTTCATTCGTTACCAAGGCAATTTGGTTGCCATACATGTGATGGCAATGAGATTCCTCAGGGACCTGGAGAAGGCATGTGGCTGGGACACTTCCATTCCCTAAAACTCATAAATACAGTGCATCCTTTAAGGCCAGAGGAAAGAGCCCACATCAAAACAAATGAGGGTCCACATGGCTAGGAAGAGAGACCACGCCGTCCTCAACACATGTGTGCATGCCCACACACGCATGTGCACACACAAACACACACAGAGCGAGGCATGAAAGAGGGTGTACGGGACACACACTGGCACCTTCTTCGCCAGCAGCCTGACCCTCTGAAGGCCACCTCTCACTGCTTTACAGTGATACTGAAGGGGCCGGCTGAGTGGCTCAGTTGGTTAAGAGCATGAGCTCTGAGCAACAGGGTCACTGGTTCGATTCCCACATGGGCCAGTGAGCTGCGGTTGAGCTGCCAACATGTGGCAGGGTGGCTCAGCTGGTGAGAGCACGTGTTCCTAACAGCAAGGTTGCTGGTTTGATTCTGCATGGGATAGTTGGCCCATGCCAACTAAGATTGAATGTGGCACCTTGAGCTGAGCTGCCCTGACCTGCCAACGGGCGGCCGGATGGCGACTGAACTTGGAGCTGAGCTAGCTGTGCCCTCCACAACTAAGACTGAAGAACAACAACTTGGCTGTTCCCCTTCCCCAATTCCCCAACACTGTTCCCCTTCCCCAATTCCCCAATAAAATATTAAAAATAATAAAAATAATAAAAATAAAAAAATAAAGTGATACTCAATACCCAGCTGGTAAAAGGAAGGGGAAAGGGTCAGCTTGAGAAACTAGGAGTAAAATAAAGCATTTCTCCTCCTTTCTGCCTCCTGGAAAAGGTCCACTCAGACCGTCCAACAATCTCAGGAGCTTCAGCGGGATCTTAAATCCAAAGAACCAGCAGGCCTCATGCACGTCCATTTAGAAATACGTCACACCGAACAGCAGTTACTTGTAACCCAAGTCCTTCCACAGCTGTTGTTATCAACCATGGAAAGGTGTTTTCAAGCCACCTGGCCCTGAAATGCCACTTCAGGGGCCCTGCAGAGGCCTGAAGAGCTTGGAGATGAATTAAATGAGGCGCCCAGAGCGTTTCAACTCCTGCCAGGGAATAACATCATAAGAGCTGGGAAAATGTGTCTAATGCTGCTCCATTTCTGGTTTTTATGGACTTTTTTTTCCAGTCTCAGACAAGAATCTTTTCCCAGGTGGCCTCAGTCTATCCATGAGAGGTCTGGCCTTCAGGTCTCAGGCTGCTTAATTAGTTCGTTTCTAATTAGAAGTGTAGCTTTAATAACAGGAATAAAGAATCGAGCTCCAGTTTCTATGCTACACAGCTTTGCTCTTCAATATTCACTCATTCTTTTGTCAACAAAGAGTTACGGAGGGCCTACTGTGTGCAGGTTCTGTTCTGGCATTGACCTTGCAGGGAGGCTCCCAGGGGACTCTGCCAGCCCTAATTGTTCTGTGTGAACTGAGACACTCGCCTCGGTGAGAGGGTGACGGGCTCCGTAAAAATGTCTCATGGTATCACCTCTGATCACCTGCAACCCAGGGTGGAATTTGCGTGATGGCATTGAGTGGCAGGGATCATACAAGAAAGCTCTGGGGGTACTAGGGGAGCCACTTCTAGTTTGAGCCCAAAGCACTAGGAGAAATGAAAGCAGGCTCTTGACTTCCCTGGCATTGCAAAACGGAAGCGCCCTCTCGGACTAGAGCAGCTCTTGTGCCCCTGGGAGGTATGACCAAGCCGGGTGTGTAAGGTCGGCGGCAAACAACCGGAAAGAAAGGAGCCCTGGGGTGCAATCCTTTCGGGCCTGGAGGAGCCAAGTTAGAATGAAAACAAAATGGGTTTTAATGATGATACATTTCACAAAATACAGTGAGGTTTCAAGTGGAACTTAGGGATTTGCTCAGGCAACAACATTCTGCTTTGCATATTTGACTTTGAAAGGATTTATCTCTTTTTCGGAGAATCAAAGAATGTGACGCCCAGGGGGCCTCAGTTTTAATAAAATCAAATCTCTTAAAGAGACAGTCGTCCAGANCAGAAAAAGGAACCCGTACCCACTGCTGAAAATGTGAACTGATAAAGCCTTTGGAAAGTGATCTGACGAGACCTTTTATTAATGAAAAGATACAGCGCCTCCACCCAGCAATCCCCTGGGATTTATTGGGTCGTCGGGAAAATCATGACGCATTTTTGCATCGAAAAACATAGAAAAAAATACGTCATGACTTTCCCGACGACCCAATAGCTCGTTGAAATACAGGCACCACTAGGCAAGACTAGAAGTCCACGCACTACTCCAGACGGCAGAAAACCTAAGCACAGTAAATGCCCATCAGAAGAGAATGACTGAAGAAGCAGTGACTCACCCAGTCCAGGGCACATGACAGCCCCAGGTTAGATATGTACCAGTGAAGTTAGCGGGACTTCCCTGAGCTGTTACTCAGTGAGAAAAGCAAGAAACAGGAAAATTTAAAACCAAAAGCAAGATACACCCTGAAAAAGTGTTTGTTTGAATATGATGACATGACCATGAAGAAATACATGACGGGCATACACCAGGCCATTAGCCCTGTGACCCTGATATGGGAGGGGACAGCGGTGGGATGGGAATCGAGTACCCGTGGGTGGAGGGAATAGTGAAGCAAGAACAACAACAAAATCCACAACCTCTTAAAGTGGTTAGACAACCAGACTGTATGCTGCAGTTCCATATAATTCCATTTATGTAAAATTATGCACATGGGTGGCCACAAAAAGGTACATGAAAGTAAAGTCTCCAGCACCCTAACAGAGGTTGTCACTAAGTGGTTTCCTTACACCGTTCCTGTGTTGTTTGCATTTTTACAATAAGTACGACTTCTTCATGTAATCAGGAAAATACCTCCAAAGCTATGTTACTATTAATATTTTATATTCCCTTGCTTCTCTAAGTCGATTGTCACTCCAAACTCACTCCTTCCAACCAAAGGAGCCACATTATAGAGACAGCTGCCCACTGCACTGAGTTCATATTCATTAGTTTTGCCGTCCCAGGCAATCCCATCAAGCCAGTGTCTATACTTAACAAGGGGGCACCAGACCTACCTCCTCACCTTTGCCCGAGGAGCCCAGACCTAAAACCGGGCTGTGGGAGCCCAGCCTGAGTTTGGGCAGCAACAATGGGGCTCTCCCAGGGAGTCAAGGAACCTTCTTCTTCGTTATCATCTCAGAGTTGGGTCCCCACCAACCTTTTCCTAATCTCTTGCTTCCAAAAAGAAGGTTTATAAGTCCTCTGAAACCTCATGTGAATAGAAAGTACTTTGTGAACAGCCTGTGGACTTGCTAAACGAGTTTTTGTTCTTGTGGCTGTTTAAATTGGAACAGCCCTTTCTTCCACTGCCCATCCCAACAGTGTTTTGCCAACACAACAGCCCCAGAGTCCCAGAGCCCAAAACAGAACTCAACAAAAGGGCACGAGGGTCAGGTCCTGAGTAAGGGAGCAGGCCCAGGCCACATGACTCTGGTGCTTATTTGCATATGGTTTTGCATAAATTAACATGTTGGTCTCAAGAGACCATATTGCAAGTATTGGTTAGTCTGTGCAACTTCTTGGAAATATGTACCCAATTCACCTCCCTGCTTGGTCTGGGCCCAGGGACACTTCCATCTTGCTACAAAGTGTCATGCTGACCTCTGCCTCTATCATCACATCTCCTTCTGTGACTCTGCCCCTCCTGCTTCCTTCTAAAAATGACATTTGTGATTAACTGGGCCCGCCTGGATAACCTCCATCTCAATATCTTTAATTTAATCACCTTTGCAAAGACTCTTTTGCTAGGTAATATAACTTAGTCACAGGGTCCAGGGATGGTCCCCTGCTCTAAAAACCCTCTGTGCTCTGCCTGTTCATCCCTCCCTCCCCCGAAACCCCGACAACCCCTGAGCTTTTTGTCTCCATAGTTGTGCCTTTTCTAGAATGTCATAGAGTATATAGCCTTTCCGGATTGGCTTGCTCCACTTAGTAATATGCATTCAGGTTCCTTAAGTGTTTTCATGGTTTGGTAGCTCCTTTCTTTTAAGTTCTCCCAAGTGTCTGAGCTTTGCTTTCTCCTAGGGGTTCTGACCCAGTTCACTGCTTTGGTTCTTGCCCTGGCCACACAGAACCAAGTCCCTGCCAGCAACTGCTTAACCAGCTTCTGCCCACTCCTGGTCCCCAGGCCCAGAAGGGGGTGATCAGACACTCTTATTTCATCTCAGCGTTCCCTACTCAAAGTTCAAATCTAT